AGGGCCGGGAGGGGGCTGGGCTGGCAGACAGACGAGCAGCCGAAGACCCGGCGGCAGGTGCCGGCCCCCGGTGATCCAACTCTTTCTCCTCAGCTCCACCTACTTTGGCCTGGACCCAGCTTCCAAGGGCTAAAAATATTGCCCGGAGACTCCTGAGTGGAATCAGATCGCCCTAAGTAGGGCACAACGCTGCAGAGGCGACATAGCTCCCCAGCCCCAGGGCTGGAGGAAGACTCCGGAGTCGCCGCTCCTGCCCACGCTCGGCCCGGCAGCTGGCGGTCCCACTCCGCCCGGCAGGCAGGCAAGTGCGGGCCGCGGGCGGTGGCGGAGGGCACTGCTTCTCTGAAATTGCCCCACAACCGAGCAGCTGTGCCTAGCTTCTCCCTACCCAGGGGATCTTCGACATCAATCACTGTTGACTTCCAAGGGGGTCCCCTAAATGCTCTATAAGCAGAGGCTGAAAGTTACCCACTGCAGGAATCAGAACTAACAGGGAGAAGATGTAGGGCTCTTTATGTTAGAAACAGAAGCTGTGGCTTCTTCTTAAGTTCATTTTGCATTTTTGAATAGGAGAGGAGCTGTGCCAGGCACTGTTTCTGGTGAGTCTGATCCAAGAGGGCAGGGAGAAAGGCTTTCTTCTGAGTCTCTTGGGAGCTTTAGCTAGCTATATCCTTTAAATCAAAACAGATACCAGTTTGTTCCTCTCAAATTAGAAGCACATGGCCAGGGAGCCTGGACACCTACCTCCTTTAACTAACTGCCTGTGGTTTTTTTGTAGGCAAGCTCTGAGAGCGGCTGGTTATAATCAGGAAGTTGTATGGTGAACTCAGGAGTCACAGCTGGGAAGTTTGTTATTCGGTTGTTTTTTATAGCATCTGCCTGGGAGAGAGCATCATCTCCATTCTAGGGGCAGAGCTGCTACCAGGACCAGGCAGGACTGGCCTCAGATGTGCCTTTTTCTATGCTTTTTGTATCTCAGCCAAGAGAATACGATCCAGGTTGGGTCAGGATCCATAGCCAGTGTTTGGAAGTTTGGGATTTAGTGCTTGGAAGTTTCCTTTTCTTTGGAGTCAGGCAAATAGGTGTTCCTCGAGAGCAGCCCTCAGGAGCTCATTGGAGCATTTGGTGGAAAGACCTCCAAGGGGATTTTGCCTTCTGGAGCTACATCTGATGTCCCTCCAGCCAGGTGTGTGTGGAGGCCAGTATGAAGCTGAAAAAGCAGGTGACAGTGTGTGGGGCTGCTATCTTCTGCGTGGCTGTCTTCTCACTCTACCTCATGCTGGACCGAGTGCAGCATGATCCCACCCGCCACCAGAATGGTGGGAACTTCCCCCGGGTGAGTCATGCCTGTCTGCTAATCTCTTTGTATACAAATCATCTGGGATCAGGTTATTGCCCCATCTGGAGAGTCATGTCAGCCCAGAGCAGGAATATTCTGGAAACTCATAGCTGAAAACAATGATGGTAAAAAAAAGAAAGAATGGAGGGAAAAAATGGCAATATGTACTGCCACTTTGTCCTCCTGAATTCTTGGCAGACATTGCTAATGGATTGCAGCATTCTTTCCCAGTAAGCCCCAGTGCAGTCCTTGTCAGCATGATGCTCCAGATAGGCAACGCCAATTGTTGCGAGTAGGCGTGGGAGATTATATCTTTGCCAACCGTGAGCTGGAGAGTGAGGGTACTCCCAAACCAAGAGGATTGCAGTTCTCCGTAGTGGTGTGCAACTCTTCCCTTACCTGCCCAGAGCCATCCAGCCCTGTAGGCTCATGGTCCTACCTTTGATTGGGGAGGGCCTCAGGTGTTGGGCCCTATGCAGAGATCCTGTGACGTAAGGAGCTGGGCGTGATTGCTTTGTTTTTTTTGGCAGAGTCAAATTTCTGTGCTGCAGAACCGCATTGAACAGCTAGAGCAGCTGTTGGAGGAGAACCATGAAATCATCAGCCACATCAAGGACTCCGTGCTGGAGCTGACAGCCAACGTGGAGGGCCCACCTGCCCTGCTGCCCTATTATACGGCCAACAGCTCCTGGGTGGTGCCACCAGAGCCCCGGCCTAGCTTCTTCTCCATCTCTCCTCAAGACTGCCAGTTTGCTTTGGGGGGCCGGGGCCAGAAGCCAGAGCTGCAGGTAAGAGTCAGAGCTGGCAGGGACCCACGGTGGCCATGGCTGGGGCACTGAGCTGCTCTCCTGCCTGGCAGATGCTGACTGTATCAGAGGAGTTACCTTTTGACAATTTGGATGGCGGTGTGTGGAAGCAAGGGTTTGACATCTCCTACAGCCCTCATGACTGGGACACTGAAGACCTGCAGGTGTTTGTGGTCCCACACTCTCACAATGACCCAGGTGAGCGCCCAGCAGACCCCTGGGAGCCGGGGTGTGGAGTAGGCTTTCTGACGGCAAAGATAAGGGAGGGAGAGTTGAAGAAGAGGGTGGTATCTTCAGGGGATCCTATGTTGGCTCCTCAGGCTGGATTAAGACCTTTGACAAGTATTACACCGAGCAGACCCAGCACATCCTTAACAGCATGGTGTCCAAGCTGCAGGAGGACCCCCGGCGGCGCTTCCTCTGGGCAGAAGTCTCCTTCTTCGCCAAGTGGTGGGACAACATCAATGCCCAAAAGAAAGCAGCAGTCCGAAGGCCAGTGCCAGTTGGGGAGCACGGGAGGGCTGTGGGCCCTAGGATGGATGTGAAGTCGTCTCCTGGAACTTTGGGTACCAAGGGGCCAGGGAGAGGCAAAGGCAACCGTGTCAGAGATGAGGCGTGATGGTAGAGGGGCCCGGACTGAGAAGACAAGAAGTGGTAGTTCAAATCAAAGTAGTATGAACACAGTCGAAAAGAAAGCACAGGGCCTAGCCCCTGGAAGCACGGACAGAGGTCCAGGGCTAAGCAGAGCCAGGGCAGCATGGAGGTTGGCTGGAGGGAAGGGAGGGCTCATGTCTATTTTCTTGGCCTTGGGTTCGGGTGGGCTGGCTCAGTGAGGCCAGTACACATAGGTCCTGGCATCTGGTTGGCAGGACTGAGCAAAGGGTCTCCACCCTACGCTGAGTGTGAGTCCTTAACTCTAGGCTGGTGGGAAACGGGCAGCTAGAGATTGCGACAGGAGGCTGGGTAATGCCGGATGAGGCCAACTCCCACTACTTTGCGCTGATTGACCAGCTCATTGAGGGACACCAGTGGCTGGAGAAAAACCTCGGTGAGTCTGGCTCAGGAGTGGGAGTCTGCGCCCAGAGGACAGCAGGGGGCTATAAGGCACAGGGATAGGCAGGGGTGGTTCCTTTCTAGGCTAATTTTACCAGCATGGACCTGGTGTGACGGCAAGAGGGGAACTGGGGCCCCAGTACTGGGAGGCCAGGCTGTGAGGCATTCAGGCCTCTGGCTTCTGTGCCCCTGCCCAGGTGCAACCCCACGCTCCGGCTGGGCAGTGGACCCTTTTGGATACAGCCCCACCATGCCTTATCTGCTGCGCCGCGCCAACCTGACCAGCATGCTGATTCAGAGGGTGCATTATGCCATCAAGAAGCACTTTGCTGCTACCCACAGCCTGGAGTTCATGTGGAGGCAGACCTGGGGTAAGGCCAGGTAGGGTGGAGGGGGTCACAGAGTAGTTCTCACTGGGAAAGGACAGGGATATCAGAAATAAGACCCATGTGCCCTTCCAAGCAGACCAACAAGCACTGGTGCAGACTGTCAGAAGCTCTCTCCTTCAGGTTAGGTGGGAATCACATCGGCCTCTGGCCTCTACAGGGCCTGCTGTCTGTCCCAGGGGTCCGAGCATACTGTTCCTTGGAGGAGCTGTGGGCTCCACAGCCCTCCCTGTGTCCTGACCCTTGGCCTACATGTCCTCTGCAGCCCTAAGTCTAGCTCAGGCCTCACACTCTATCAGGGCTGCCTTTAGCTGGAGCAGATGCCTGTCCTCTTGGCATCCCTGTGCCCAGGCTGACTGCCTGATTTGTCTTCCACAGACTCGGACTCCAGCACAGACATCTTTTGCCACATGATGCCCTTCTACAGCTATGATGTCCCCCACACATGTGGCCCAGATCCCAAAATCTGCTGCCAGTTTGATTTCAAGCGCTTGCCCGGTGGGCGCATCAACTGCCCTTGGAAGGTGCCACCCCGGGCTATCACAGAGGAGAACGTGGCTGAGAGGTATGTGCTCGCAGCCCTGGAATGGGCGTGGTGGTGCCATTTTCCCTCAACAGAGGAGTCAGGAGACCTGGCCTCTGGTCTGGGCTCTGCTGCATGGGGGAACTTCGGGTTCTACATCCATAAAATGGTGGAGGGTTCAGGCCCACAGCCGCTACAGTGGCAGCTCCTTTACTGCGTCTCCCAGGAACTAGAGTGGCTCAAAGGAACCACCTTTTCTAGAATGAGAACGTTTTCCAGTGTCCTAACAAACTGTCAGAGCCAGCAGACTGACTCAGAGGTGAATAATTCTCAAATCAGGTGCAGTGCCTTACAACCTTTAGCCTGGGATGCCTTTAAGCTCAGGCCTCCTGTCTTGGCTTGAAGTTGGCCAGGATCCTCAGTGCTCTGTGCATCCAGAATCCCATTCAGAGGCATATTCCATCCCACCCAGCAGCCTCCAGCCTCCAAAAAAGCAGACCTGTTTCCTTTGAGGGAATTCTTAGGGACCCCTAAAGACGTTGCTGAAATCAGCTCCCCTGGGAAAGGGTGGATTAAGAGAAAGCTAAACAAACGATTTAGCCAGAACTGGATTGGTTTTAAGAATATAACAAGTTGAGAGGGGGAGATTGTAGCCCAGTGGTAGACCGCATGCTTAGCATGCACGAGGTCCTGGGTTCAATCCCCAGTACTTCCTCTAAGAATAAATAAATAAGTAAACCTAACTGCCTCCCCCCACCAAAAAAAAAAAAAAAAAAAAAGAAGAATGTAACAAGTTGAACTGGTTTTCCTGTTGCAAGACTCTGATTTCCCTGATGTCCAAGAGGTGAAGCATGTGACCAAGAGAGAAAGAAAGTGGTCTTTTGTTTCCAGAATCCAGAAATCTGACTGCTGATTCCAAGCAAGAATCTAGGGCTTTTAAGGCATGATTTTTCTTAAAGCAGCAGCTGTGATCTACAGATGCCAGGCCAGGTTTAGAGAGCAAGTCATGGGCGGTAACTTCATTTTCTCCTTTAAAAGTCTTGTGAGGCTGGCGAATTAGAGGAAAGTGGCATTTGATGAGTTCTTTCTTGACAGCAAAGTGGAAAAGAACAAGCTGGACCAGTATGGTTTAGTAGATTAGTGGCTGGTTGAACTGTGACACCCATAACATGCCTACCAGGTCGGTCTAAAAAGAGAAGAAGGCTTTAATGATATGCCACAGGGCTCTGGTTTTTATTGATTTTATTAGTGACTTGTACAAAAAAGAAAATAATAAATGTTTATATATAGTTCCTATTATGTGCCGGGCATTGTTCTGTTTAACATATACTAGTTTGTTCAGTTCGTTTTAATTTTCGTAATACTATGATGGCAGTTACTGATGTTATCCTCATTTTATAGAAACTGAGGCCCAGAGAGGTTAAGTAACTTACTCAAGGTTGCACAGCTGGTGCACGGGAGCTGGCATTGGTGAAGTCTGGCCCCCAAGTCTGGGCTCTTCTCTCCCACTAACTGGTAGGCAAAACAAAGCTGGAGTGTCGGAGTCAGGATCCCAAAAGATCTCAGTAGGTTAGCACGTGGGCCATATCTACCAGATAAGATTTATTAGATATAAAGGTAAGGCTCCACCTTAGCTTCAGAAAACAGAATA